CATATGACCAAAACTTACTAAATTTCAAGACGGACTTAGAAAGACTTCCAACCAAGCAACCCTTCACCGTGCCCTAACGACACCAACATGATGCCCCATCCAACACACCCCTTCCCCCTCAAAACCTCACCTCCCCCTTCATCGGCTCTCCTTCTTCGGATCCTCGCAACACAACCTCATGCTGGCTAAACTTCACCATGACTATGAAAGGTCGAACGATGAAGATCCTCGGACCGCAGCAGAACTCAACTTCTCCAGTACATCATGCCGCATTATGAGACTAAACTATTGAGCCCACCAATAGTCGCTCACAGGTAGTCTCGAGAGTATCAGGGACGAGCAAACTATGCCACCTGTCGCAGAGCACGTAGATACATCAACCCAATCTGAGGGAATCACCTAAGTCAGATCCACCCCAATCCGTTGCATGGGCCCTTGAAACGCTTTTCCACAAACATTGAGTTGAGCAGCTGACTTCAAAGATCACACAGAGAAGAGAAGATGATCCCTACGAACAACGTGAGCATTCCAAACCCTCCCATAAAACGCCCGCCACGTCTCATCTTCATCACCACCCACCATATCCCTGCCGCTTCTCCCACCGCAGTGCTCAATTCACTCCCGCCGCCCAGCCAGGCACCATGCAGACTCGTCGCTTCGAACGGGGCATGTTTGGTCGGGACAGGCGCAGCGCTACCGGCGCAGCGCCCCCGGTAGTGCTGCACCCTTCCGCTTGGTTTCTAATTCGATCACTGACCAACTAGGGTGTTTGTGTTCACATCTGTTAGTGTTAGAATATGTGGGATTTAGGTAATTTGTAGGGTATTAATGTATTAGATATTTGACATACCTTGATTCATAGTTGGTGTCGAGGCTGGTGGTCCTTGAATCTTGGTCCATATGTCGTATATGTGTGTGCTTAAGTATTTGTTGTTGTAAGTTTTTTTTAAAATTAAATACAAGTTGTTTTGTCACATGTGACTCACTCAATCGGGCTGAATGTGTGGGGCATTGAATACGTCCACGTTCAGACACATCTGTTTGCATTTGCAAATGCAATGCAGGTGTGTCGTTTCAACCTGCGGCCAAGGCCGCGCCCTTTCCAATTCAGACTTTTCCACTTTTCCACCATGCCGCTGCTTTGCCACCGTTTCGACCAAAACCCAGGGCGCGGTCCCATGGGCAGCTACCGGTCCCACATTTTTCAAAGAAACTGCCACACCCCCCAAAGATCCACTATGCCGCTGCTTTGCCACCGTTTTGACCAAAACGGAGCGCGCGGTCCCACAGGCAGCTTCCAGTCCCGCATTTTTCAAAGAAACCGCCACCCCCCCCCAAAGTGTCGTGCCTGCACCTGCCTGCATTTTTCAAACCTTCCAACGACTAAACGAGCACGAATCAACGACCAGTATAATGAAGGACGACGAAGATATCTGGGGGGGGAAAACGCACCCCATTCAAACTTTTCCACTTTTCCACCTTGCCGCTGCCTTGCCACCGTTTCGACCAAAACCCACGGGCAGCTACTGGTCCCGCATTTTTCAAAGAAACTGCCCCCAACGCGACTTCCTGTTTCGGAGTGTTAGGGGGCCCGGAAGTGCGAAGAGGGGTGTGCCAAGGATTTTAGGAAAGTGGGGGTGGAGTCCCAGGTCAGAATTGAGATCTCCGGTGGCAAGCTTAGGGGTAGTTGAGCAAGATGGTGGTCCTGAGTTATATTGGACTTCGGGCGACCGGGCTACCTCCGGTATGAGTGTCGTCGTCGCGGTCGGTCCCGTCTCTGGTGGACCGGTGGGTCGCTATGGCTGTCACGCTGTTCGAACAGCTGCCGGCGCCGCTCGACCTCGGCTCGAGTTCGTCGGATAAATCCCGAAGTCCGATACGCCTGGTGCTGCCGACACTCTTCGCACGATGTGCGGGGCCAATAGCGAGTTATGAAATTCCACGGTACCACTGTGAGCTGATGGTAGGGGAGGAGGAGATGGAAGGGAGGAAAACTGGTATTGATAACGACGAAGCCCGACGATATGCAATACTGAGTGTTGTTAGTATTCGTGTAGTTCGGGCCCCGGGGATCATTGGTTATGGCCCAGTGAAAGTCCCCCGCGCATAGTCGGTCGTTCTTCGTCAGATAGGGGAATTCCAGGTTTTTCAATTTCCCCCGCCGTTTGAGTTGTTCACCCTCCCAGTATTCGCGATAGTCCGGGTCCCTCAGACTCTTACGATCGGTGATCCAAGAGGGGGGTTTGACAACCATATTTGATTAGTGAACTCGGTCTCCCGCATCCTCATAATGAGTCAAGATCGAGGTCGACCCATGCAGACGCGCGCGTGCGCTGCGACTCGGTTTCCTCGAGATCACGGTCGTACGCGAGCGCGCACATGAGCGAAAGCTGATCAGGCGCGGGTTCCTCGCGCCGGTGTATTGGTTGTGTCCTACCTGCATGCAACTATCCTACCCATACTATTTCAGGTGGAATCCAGTCATTGCATTCACATCCATGCCATTCATATGACGAAGAAAAAGGAGGAGGCCAATTGCCCTATCATCAAGGGCCAACACCTCACAGGATTGACGATCAAAGCTAACGATTAAACCCAAACATCCATAGCGAGTGCTTCCAATCAGACCCAGGATTATTGCACGACGCAGATGGATACTAGAAAGCGACAAAATTGAACTAAACAGGCATTGCAGAACAGGATTAAAAATCCGAAAAAATCACTTGAAGAGGGTTCGTATCCATTCCATGCATACACACAAGGCAAAACGACAAAGAAAACTCGAAACGATTTACAAGAAAAAACCCAAAAGTGCCGCAACAAGATCGGCCAAAATAGAGATCAAAATTATGCAGATGATTGGCAGAAGAGACCTCATCCCACACATAGCTGCTCTCTCTCTCTCTCTCTCTCTCTCTCTCTCTCTCTCTCTCTCTCTCTTGTTTTCCTCTTCTCTTTTCTCTTTTTTCCCCTCTTTTTTCCCCCTCTCTCTCTCTCTCTCTCTCTCTCTCTCTCTCTCTCTCTCTCTCTCTCTCTCTCTCTTTCTCTCTCTCTCTACACTCCCCGATGCGGGCAGTCCGACGCCGCGCATCAACACAAAGTTGTCACCCCGCTTGGTTCAAGACGCAAGCCAGGTTCGCCCGTGCGCCACAGTCTGTCGCGGCCCGCACGTCAACCCCGCATACCCGACACCAGCTCGTCGGATCGCCCAACTCTCTCATCGACTCACCTCTTCAAGCTGACTCCTTAGCCGACCCTCACTGATCGCGCTAACTCCGAAGTTCATAGAGAGCAAACTAATCGCGCTTGCGAAATTTATATCATGCTCGCTTGCGCGAAAGATACGGGATCAAGCCCAAGTGCTCAGGAGGAGAAGAGAGGAAGTGCCTATGTCTGCATGGCCAGGCCGCGGCATGGGGGACGTAGCCACTCTCCACGCATCGATCCGGTCGTACAGGCGTTCAGGCCAATTAGAACAGAGTATTAAGCATGCAAGACAAAGAAGAAGAAGGCGGGCAAACATGAGGAAATCAAGAAAGAAGAAAGATACAGTTACAATCGCGCCCGCCAAAAGCGACAATTACACAAGATTAAGGGTGCGATCCAGTCAGAGCCCAGTTCCTAGCGCAACAAAGTGTGCGCAATTGAGAAGCGTGGCGCAACAAAATTTGGAGCGCCTAAATTCCTAATCTAAGTCCTAGTTGCAAAAGGAAATTCTGAAAAGCCCACAAACAATTCCTCAAGCCCATAGGATCTCGACAGCAGTTGAAAATTTAAAAACGATATTCCCGCGCGATGATCACCTCAAAAATTCCTAGTGCTCATAACAGAACAAGAAAGAAGCCATGGCAACCGTTGTCCATCACGCTCGCTGAGGCGTGGTTACTCAGTCGTCGGCGCGGGACTTTCCAGATACCGACCCGACCGACTCCCACAAAAACAAAAGAAATGAGGGTATCCATACAACTTACCCGACCGACCTGTCTTTCCACTGCTCCCCCTCCGACCCGTCCCATTTCCCCAAAGCAACGTCGCGTAGAAAGTAGCGCGGTTACGGAAGACAGCTCGTCACACCACGGGCAGCTACCGGTCCTGCATTTTTCAAAGAAACTGGCACCCCCCCCCAAAGTGTCGTGCCTGCACCTGCCTGCATTTTTCTCAGGGGGGAAAAACGCACCCCTGACGGGCTGTGAACACGATTTTGTGCACCTCTCCACAAACACGGCCAGATTCAGGTCTTCAATCGAATCCTCCTTGCTAGTGGGACATCGCCAGAGGGTTATTCTATCCATCTGATTCCTTCCTTCTTGGCCATTAGACCCCGCTAATGTGGGGTTGGAGAGGGGTAGGGGGAGGTGCAAGTAACTGGCCAAAGATGCTCGACACAAGCATCGCCGGTTCCCCGTCGGCAATGCCTGATCACCCTGCATCATCATGATGAGGGGCTGATACAAGCCTTGCTCTCTCACCAGTTTGGCAATCCGCTAACCAACGGAAGGGAAGGCAACCCAAAGCAGTAGTACTGGCAAGAATATGAGATAGATAAGAGACAAATATAGCTATAGATTGACGCGAGGATGGGTTGGGGAGGGAGGACAAACCTTCCTTTTTCAAGCTGCACTTGCGCTAGCGCTAGCGCCAGCGCCCTGCTGCCGGCCGACCAACAGGGCTCGGTCGTCCCGGCGCAACTGGTGTCTGGGAGGTTTGGCTCCCGGGCTGCTGGGCCTGTGTGCGCACCCGATAGGGAGACGGGGTTTGTTGATAGCCATGTGGCACCTATTGGTTGGTGACGTGTGTGTCCCACGATGCGTGGACAGTGGAAACACTGGTTGAGTGAATGATTGGAATTTTGTGCGAATAGCGGCACAACTTTCTTAGTACGTCATGGTGACAGAGGCGAAATTGCAACGGGGGGCCGGTGATTGGCTGTCTACCCTGGAGATGGGAGGGCGGCGGCTCCAGGCGGTGGTGAGGGTTTTGTCGTACCAGCTGCATTCAAGATATGCTGGATATTCTGTGGGAGCTGGAGGAGGGACCGGCTCCGCAGTTTTATGCTTACATGGATAGGAGAGGGGTGGAGGCAAGGATGGGAGTCTGGCAAGCTCTTTTTCGGGAGGGGCAAGACCTGCGCTACCGGCTGGAGGATCACCTGGCAATGGACGACAAAGCTGTAGATGGGGAGCTACTTCTATGTCATCTTGGCAGTGGCTTCAGGACTGCAGGCGGGATTGACAATCATCTGCGGCTGGAGGGAGATAGCGTCTACACTGAAGATGTGACTGATTACACCTATACTGAAGATGTGACCCATCCTACTGGCACAACGTCAACACCAATGGTTAGTACAACAACGACATCACTCATGGAACGAACTTCTGGCGACGGGCTGGTCGCTGCTATTATATCAACGACAATACGACATGGTTTTGCTTTTCGATTGCAGACAATAGAGGCAACCACCCAGGCGTGCACACCTGATGTGGCGCGTCGGACACCATCTATACCATCTATATCATCCATAATGTTTCCCTCTCACATGCAGGGCTTGTCCAGTAGTGTGTGCAGCTTAGCTACCGTGATGCCCCGCGGATTGCGATTGCCATGTCAACTGGTCGAGATCAGGTGGGGTTCAGTGTGGATAGTGGTGACGGGTGAGTGCTTCGTCTTGGTTTTGCCTCGGATGGGGGTAGGATAGAGGCTGGGGCTGGAGTAGGGGAGGTAATGGGCCGGTTGATGAGGATTCGTGGCGCGTTTACCCAATTATGCGGTATGATTAGTTGACTCGCTTACTGTTAGGATAGTTTTTCCGCTAATATACACTGAAAGGCTGCCATCATACTTTTGCATGTGTATATTACGACTTACATCATCTGCCTTTTGCGGTCAGATAGCTGGTGACTGATATAGATTGTGTTGTTATCCTGAGTACGCTCACAATGCTTGATCCACCGTATTGTTGGAGGTTGGGAGGTTAATCCTTCCCTGAGTTAGGGAAGCAATCAATGCCTTCACCCCGGTAGTATATCGTTTATACTGACATAGCGACATAGGTGCCGATAGTATCAGCCCCTCCATCTACAACCATAGTGATTGATTGGTTGATATCCTCTTCTTGCACTCATAGCTGTTTAGAATACACAAGGTTACTTAGAGATAGGATATACAGAAGGTGCACCTGCTGTGGGCGCAGTATAACTACACTAATTCAAAAAATTGAGTTGTACAGGGAAGCTGGACCCGATTTCCAGCAGGTGTTGGTCCCCACCAATGGATGGAGCCTTCAATACTGGGGCCTGCTTAACGGTTTAGTGCGTTGGAGGAGTAACCTTCTGAATGTTTCCCGGGTGAGTCTGTCATTGAATATTACTCCTTTTTGTTGGAGCCAATCTTTCCATTGTGCCTGTTGCTGGATTTAGATCATATCAAGTATCTGATTGCATGACTCCTCTTATATGTCCAGTAGGCATCCGAGATGGGGTGAATTTCCATCTTCTGTTTGGCTTCTTTAATTAGATTAATTCATTTCTGTTCAGCCTGTTGTTTTTTAATTGCTTTGATTCTTGAGAGGACTTCAAGAGAGTTTTTCAGAATATTATACCTTCTTCTAACTTTTTTTTTTTTTTTTTTTTTTTTTTTTTTTTGAAAAACAGAACCTTACGGTTGTGGCTCCTTTTCCATTCTGGGGAGCGTCAGTCCGGTTCCTATTCCACCAGTATGTCAGAAATCTATTACAATGGGTACTCACACACGCTCCTCCCCCTTACGGTAGGAAGGCCCGGAAGACGACATTGATTACTTCCCAAGGAAGGATGTACCACTCTTCACCCCTGCCTAAGTTAGCCTGCTTGATGTACTCTTGGACTTGGAAGACCTCTCAGATTTATGGACCTGTCTTGTAACTGCTGAGGGGCTTTCTATATGGGCTGACTCTAGCTTTTCCTCTCAGCTGTATGGCTGTCGGATCTGTGTATTGATGGTAGAGCTAGCTCAGCCTTCATCTGCGCCCTTGTCTAAGACCCTAATCTAACCTTTCTATGCACTGTAGTGCTCTTTAGCCTTAGACTGTGTTTTGGGCTTCTATTTTTGACAAGATGCTTATCCTTCCATCGCTAAACCCTAAGCTCTCATCCCTTAACTACTTATGGAGGGGGGTATAGTGTCGGGGGAAGGATGTTAGGAGAAATGAGGAGCGTAATAGGTGCGGGACAGCCAAGTGCGGGTGGTATAAATTTTGGGTGGGGTGGGAGATGGAGGGGTGGGGGGTGATGGAGGCCTGTAAGGCTGTCGGGACCTTTTTGTTTTTATTTTTCCGGGGAAGTGAGGTTGCGTGAGGGATGGCGCGGGGACTGTGGGTGGGGAGAAACTGGGTTATATGGAGTGATGTGTAGTGAGGGAGTTGGGCTGAATGTGTAGGTTTGACTGTGACGGGGGATGGATTGTTGGAGGGGGGTGAGGTGGAGACGTGATCTGCGCTGGTGGTAGTGTTAGCCAGTTTTTGACGTTTTTTATTTCTCCTAAAAGGCCTGATCCTAGTTTTGCAGTTGAGAATTTATGAATTAATGCGTTTTTTTTAATTGGGGGCACTGTTTATTTGTTTTAGAGTTTTGGTCCAGAGAATATGTAACTCCGTTTCTATTGTATGTTTTATTGTGTTGAGTGGGTTATCGGGTGTGATAGGACCATTGCCAAAGGTTAGTTCACACCTTCTTTTCCATAGGCCCCAGATGATTCCCTTCCTGATAAGTATGAAGAAGAAAGCCTCGAAACCTTTCAGGGGCGGGTTCTGATCTGCGTCGAGGAAAATTGTGGCGGGACTTATTGTGACGGGCTTGTCAGAGAAGGATTTCCATATGTTTTCCATCCTTTGCCATATGATTCTGGCTTTTGGACAATCGATGAAGCAGTGGTTAAGTGTTTCCGGTCTCTGTTGGTTGCAGACTTTGCACCAAGAGTCTTGCTCTGTTCTGTTTGCCTTATTGCGTCTTTGTGCCAACCAATGGTTGACTGGCACTGCCCTGTATGCGATTAACCAAAGTAGACTGGCTCGTCTGATTGGTTTAGTGCAGAAAATTGATGACCATGGTATGGTTATTTGTGGGTTTGTTATAGTGGGTTCTTCTTTTGTCCATCTTTTTTGCAGGATATTGGTTATTGAGATGGGTTTAGAAAAACAAAAAAGGTTGTAGCCTAGTCTAGGGGTGTAGTCAGTTATACCTGCTTCTAACTAATCTTCTTGAGAGGAGAAAAGTTCTCTGGCTTTCTGCCAACGGCCAAGGTGGCGTTTGGCCCACTGCACAAATTTTTCATTCTTGAGATGGTCGACATTGAGGCGGAATGGGGGAAGGGAGGATGCAGATGGATTTCAAAAGGTCAAATTCTGTGGTGACCCGCCTGTAATAACCAGTGCAGTTTTCGGTCAGAGCAGCCTGCTTTCTTCTGAGAAAGTTTCTGTCGTGTATCTACTCGTGTTCGAGCGGAAGATTCATTCTGATTTTGCACATTTGGTGAGTAGTGGAGCGATGCCCATTGATCTGTTTGCTTAGGTTTCCAAGTTTACGGGTCTCGGACCGCCGCTCTGCATTCTATATTTTTAGGGCCTCGCTCCACCACACAACGCTCTACATGCATTTGGACATTTTGTGAATCAGGTACGTTCAAAATGTTGGACTCATCCGAATGCAATTGGTCCGGATGTCGTCCAAGTGTGTTGTGTAATGGTGCGAGGCTCTTAGAGAGTGTGTCTCCGGGCCACCAACTCTCAAGTCGAAACCTGGAAAAAGGATGGAGAGTTGTCGGAAAGATTCAATTGGAGAATCCCCATGCTGCGCAGTCTCCAAAAAGGAGAGTCTGTCGTCAGACCCGCCGAGGCGTCGCTTTTTGGAGAGTAGGGCACCCAGCTGTCACTTCTTTTCTTCCTCTTCATTTGCTCATAAGAACAGGGCAAAAAAAGAAACAACGGCGGATGTTGTAGGTTTTGAGTTTGCAAAAGCAAAAAAAAAACACGCCCGCAAAGATATCATGCCGTGAGTTTGAAACGGTATTTTCGGTAGAAACAATCCGTTGGGCTTTTTTTTTGTGTTCCCTTCTGACACTACGGCTGACCCCTGTAGCTATGACACCCGGCCTGACGCCATGACCGTTGGTATTTTCATTGCTTTTTCGAACTCGGCACCTGTTTTCTTTGCCGGCACGTGTTTTTTTTTGCTCATTCAATACCCGAAAGTGACATCAACGTCTTACTCCCCCCAAAAAGAACCAGAATGGAGGGTTGTTTGAGTGTGCAAAAAAAGAGAGTTGGTGGAGCGGGGGCTCTGAATCCCGAGGTCATCAATTCTCCATTCGCCCTAATTCTGTTTTGCTGTGTTTTCCCAGTTGGCATGGCCTTATGATGGTGTGCATGTGTCCCTGTGCTTGTCTGTTTGCCCGATTTGCTGTGATTTCCTCGGCTGAGGGCCTCAATGCGCATCTCACGGGAATTGAAAATGAGTGGTGAGTTCTCACGACGGGGAAAAGCTCACCAAGGCTTTGCGCACTACTCACCAAACAGGTCTCGGCACACTGACAATTTGCAGGTGGGCAAACTGCCCTCACTAGAGACAATCCAGTCCAGACCGGCCGTGTGAACCTATCCCAACCTCACCACTTCGGTGGCGGCTGTGAAGGATCTGCCAAAAACAAATGTCGCAGGCAGGGAGGATGATGGGGTTGGTGAGCACTCACCAAACCTGATTTTCACAGCTTCAAATGGTAAGTCTGTCAGAGGTAACATTGGTGACCTTGCAGCCCATAGGGGATGCATTTATACACCAAGGCACATTTTTCGACATTGGGTCTAATGGTCTTGCATACGGGTGCACATAGGGTGTGCATTTTCGTGGAGGGGATTGGAGGGGGACACGGAGTGTTTTTTGACATTGGTTCTAACTGTCCTGCGTAGGACAGAAGCGGGTGCACATAGGGTGTGTGTTTTCGGGGAGGGGATCGGAGGGGGACATGGAGCAGTCAGGTGCTGGAGGACTGGTCGAAGTGCATCATGGCATTTATACCGATCGCTGCTAAAAAACGAAACGCTGCCAGGGGTTGAGGCCCAGTCCATGTCTTTTCACCTGTGGTGGTGAGGCCCAGGCCTGCAAAAAGAAAGTATGCCTACTTTTGCAATTTTTCATGCTCAGAATATTCCATGAAAAAAATCAGGGTCATAGATTTAGTACTGATCTTTGTGAGAAAAAAATGAAAAATGAAAACCAGAATTCTTTGATGGCAGAGAAAGTGTTTGCGGCAAAAGAATGCAAATTTGTCTCCCTGCTACTACAGGTAGGCCACATTGTTTTGGTTCAT